ATCACATGGATTACATATCTCGACTGTGTGAATTTGTATAGGAAGTCTATGTTAACAGAATTACCTTTTAAAGATTTTGAATAAGTTGACGATCTCAACATACATGTAACCAAAATTGCTGATCATTATAAAGTTGGATATATATTAGAAGTTGATATTGAGTATCCTAATCATCTTCATAAAAATCATAACGATTTTTCATTTTTACCTTTTAATGAATGTCCACCATATTCGATAGTTAAAAAATTACTCACTACACTATCATCGAAAAAAAACTATGTAGTTCATTATAAAAATTTGAAATAGGCGATCGCGAATGGTATTGTAGTAACGAAAATTCATAGAGCTATCCGCTTTTCTCAAAGTAAATGGATGGCATCATACATTAAATTATGTACATCTATGAGAGTACTAGCTAAAAACGAGTTTCAGAAGGATTTCTGGAAGTTGTTAATTAATAGCGTTTTTGGTAAATGTATGGAGAATATTCGAGCAAGAACTTCTATAAAACTGTTTTCTTCAGAAAAAAAAGCAAGGAAATTAAAGGCAAAAACTAGTTTTAAAGACAGAACTATATATTCTAAGAATCTCATGGCCATTCATCAGCATGAAGAGACAATTAAATTCGATTAGGCAATTTATGTAGGATTTGCAATTTTAGATGTTTCGAAAACATTTATGTATGACTTCCATTATAATGTCATGAAGAAAAGGTATGGAACTAAAATTAGTTCTTTATATTCGGATACTGATTCTTTAATATATGATATCCAAACAACAAATTTTTTTGACGATTTAAAAAATAGTTTATTACCAGATTTTGACACATCTAATTATCCTAAAGACCATTGTTGTTTTAGTGAAATTCATAAGAATCAGCCAGGGTTTTTTAAGGACGAAATGAAATCAATTATAATTAAAGAATTCGTATCATTAAGACCTAAATTATATGCCTATAAAACTGTAGGTGGTACTGCAAAAAAAAAGGCAAAAGGTGTAAAGAAATATATAATTAAAAATCACATGCAGTTTAATAATTATATGGATATACTAAACGCTTTTATAAACCATAGAACTCTCAAGGATGAACAAACTCATAGAAAAATGAATTTTATCCAATCAAATAAACATGTTGTTCATTCGAAAACAATGAACAAACTTGTTCTAAGTGCAAACGATGATAAACGTTGTATAATGGATGACGGGGTAAATACTTTAGCTTATGGTCACTATAAACTTAATGGTTTATTATAAAAAGCGTTATCTAGCGGAACAAAATACAACAGTATTATTATTATTTTCATTGATTCATTTAACACTAGATGTCGCTTTTTATTTTTTTTTATCGATTGTGGATACATTAGGTTAACCAAACAGACTATTGAGGATCAGGAGATCATGTGAAATAATTAATTCGACTTAAAAAAACTTAAATTTTTTTATTTTATTTAAAAAAAAAAAATATATTTTACATAAAAAACATTATTTTAAAATATCTGATGATGTTATCCATGAATTTTGACTTGAATCAAAACCTAACCATTTAACAAGCATTTTATTCCCAACTTTTTTACAATACGTTCAATGAGAAAGGTGTTTGGAAAATCAGTTAATTTAATTTCCTGTTCATAAAAACCACCTAAGATTATATTGTCTGATTCATCCTTTAGTTGATAAGTTACTGGATTTGTCTGTAAAACTTTTGAAACTGTAAATATTTCCGTTGTCCAATTCGGTGTATATCCTTTACTAAATATATGTTTATACTTAGATATTCTTACTTTATCATTAATTTTAAATTTTGGATTATATAATGTATCATTTATTTGTGTATTAAATTAAATTTTGTTTGTATCCATTCGAGCTTCATTCGGTGTACATTTGATTGTTCTATGTTTTGTATTATTATAATTTTGTGTAATTTTTGATAGTGTATTATACCAATTCCATGTACCAGTAGCAGTAAAATGTCTATATATGTTATTTTTAAGACTTTGAATCACGCGTTCCGCGATTGCACATTTAATAACACTGTATGAACTGTAATGTTTAATTTTATATTTTTTCATTAAATCTTGAAATTGAGCATTGTAAAATTCTGTACCATTATCTGTCTGTAATAATTTCGGATGAGCTTTTTTCAATATATTAAACATACCTTTTGTACATTCTTTCGATGTTTTATTTTTTAACACCTCAAGCCATACGTACTATATGTATCTATGACAACTAAAATATACTTAAAACCATAATTTTCTCTACAATGAGATTGCATGTCCATTAAATCAGCTTGCCAGAGGTCATCAATAAATCGCGTTACTACACTGCGTCTAGGAAATATTTTTCTCGCTGGCCGATGTAACTCATTAGCTATACTCTCTAAGGTAGTCATTATACTATAATATTTCTCTCACGTAGTTCTTCTAAAATAGATATTATTACATTATTCACAACAGTATTACCAACACTTTGTGATGATGTCAAAAGATTTAATCTAGTTACTAGCTCATTCGGATCGTCATAATAAACTAATTGGGTTTGAGGTAAGACATCTTTATATAAACCAGAACCTTTCATAGTCTTTGGTGATGAAGTAAAATTAAACATCTTTTCAACTAATGGATTTGTAGACATGGAACTGTTTGCTTCTGGATTAATATCAAATGGTTCAAATTCTTGTGTTATTTTTCTGCGTTTAGCGCTTGAACTAGATAAATGATTGTCAAATGATTTTAAATTAATTCGAGGAGTTGTATTCTCATTAATTTTACTTATTTCTTCGTTAAACTGTTTTTCCTCCATTTTCATTCGATCATACAGCGGTTTTACAACAGTCACCCATTTATGGTACCTCGAGGTACTAGGTTTTCCATCTGCTTTTAAATGGACTCCACTAGTTTTCAAAATATTGTAATAAGATTCTATATCTGCTATAGTTGTATTTTTTGGTTCCTTCTCTGGTGTAAATTGGTAGTATTTATTAAGCAACAGTAATTTGCAGTGACTAAAAGTAACAGAATGTTTTCCTATTTTATATGAATCACTATCTTTATCATAATACATACCATAAGATTTATCAAAACGTGTTGATTTAGGACGGTTATTTAAAAAAATTTCATATGATGAATTTAATTCATCATCATTATCTTCTTCACTAATGCACGGGGTTTCTGATTTATTTTCTAGTTCAGTTGACCGTGTGTTACATATTACATTTTGTTTCACATGTGTACTCATTGGTTCAATTATCGGCTTAAATGCTTCGCGGAAATAGTTTTCAGAATCTATAACACCACGTTTCATTTCCATTATTTTTAGTTGTATATTTTTTTTTGATGTTATTAAATTTTCCAACAAGACTTTTCTTTGTTCATTGTAAATAATAAAAGTAATATACCTGTATCGTATGACTACTGATGACACTATGCACATAATAACTGTGTGACGGTATATTTATATAAATACATACAATTATTTTATTTTAATGAATGTATGAAAACCGCATCTATACCTTCCTTCATTCATTTCTCGAGTTTTATCGATAACCAAAAACCCGTAATAGCTATGATTCCAGCATAAATGAGAAATTTTCCGAAATTCTGAGAAATCCATATCTGCAGACGAATGATCGTTGAATATATGTCGTAAATTTGTATCATCTTGTTTCAGTATTATTAAAAAGTTTGCGTTATCTCTTACAAGCTGTTTTGATATTTTAGAATATGTCTGTGCTAAATAAAATACGGAGCTGGCACCTGGATGTCTACCAATGCTAAAGTATTCTCTGATTACAGATTGTGGGCCGCATATCACATCATCAAAAATTATAATAGAATTTTTCTTCGTTAAGTTTGGTTTTATAACCTTATCAGCGCTTGTAAATATGAAAAAATTAGCACCTTTTATATCATCTATTATTTTTTCAATAAAACATATTTTTCCTGATTAGAGGTTTTCGAGTATAAATAAATATTTTCAAATCTTAACCCGTGTGACCAGATTATATTTTATATTTGTTTTTTCTGGGCCACTGGGACCAACTAGTGTAAAACGTATAGTATCGGGTAATAACGAACCATGTGAAGGTTTTTTTACTACCTGAACATCTACATTTGTAACATCCAATTTATCTTTCTGTTCTATCAAATCCATATTATTTTCTTATAAATACTCTAGAATTTTCCAATTTATGGTCAGTTATATATGGCGTGTTCAGCTCGTAAGTACAATTCAAACAAGACTGGTAAAGGATTTGTAAACTCCCTTATAAATAGTCTCCCGTTCGAAACCTATGTTTCAGGATATCAGTATTGTGGTCCTGGCACGAAATTAAAAAAGAGACTAGATCGTGGTGATAAAGGAATAAACCCATTGGATGCTGCATGTCGTGATCACGATATTGTGTATGCAACGAGGAAGAATTTAGACGATAGACATAAAGCTGATAAAGTGTTAGAAAATCGTGCTTGGGAAAGATTTAAAGCAAAAGATACACCTAGAAAAGAGAAAATAGTTGCGTACGCAGGAACAAACACGATGAAAGCTAAAAGAAAAATAGGTATGGGTTGTAAACGGAAACGTGCTATAAAAACAAATGGTATACTAAAAGCGAAGAAAAAAAGAATCTCAAAGAAAAAGAATCATATTCCTCTGTAATGTTATTATCTACGTTTTAGACTATTTTTGAAGTGTTTCAGCTCTCTTTATTGCGGAAAATCGACGAAGGACTTATAGTGTTGTCACAAAATACAACACGCGCCATTCCGTGTAGTGTGTACCTACGCCAAAACAAAACGCATCGTGCGGTGTACTCGTAGTTGTGACTTATTAATTTGTAATTTTTATTTTTGTGTGGTAATAAGAACAAAAATATGTAAGTATTGTTTTATATCATTATGTAATATATAATATAAACATTTTAATTTTTTTTATTATTTATGTACGTTTTTGGTACGTACTAAAAATCGATATTATTTATACAATGGCTTAGGTCGGATCATATGACAGTTGAGCAAATTCAAAGTTTACTGCAAGACATTTCAACTGAAATAGACTGTGTGGATGACCAAGAGAGTGATAGTGATCTAAGCATCGAAGATGTGGAGGTAAGTGACCACGAAAGCAATTCTGAACAAGATTTTTCAGACAATGAATCAGATCTAGAGGCTAGTTTGGGGGACAGTACATTCTATATAGGAAAAGATAAAATAACTAAATGGCAACAAAAAGAGTATACAACTTCAAAAATTAGGAAACATAATATAATAAACGTGGTTCCCGGTCCCAAGGAGTGTGCTAGAAATATTGTTAGTGAGATAGATGCATTTCTAAAAATAATTGATCTTGACATGATTGACGAAATCGTAACGTGCACTAATATGTATATTAGTAATATGAGACAACGAGTTCAATACTCTAGACTCCGAGACTGACGATAACTACAATTGTTATGAAAATGCTGGCTGGAATTTTAAAAACGCAACGCAATCGGAAAATGACAAAGGTGAATTTAGTGCTTGCATACCATTGAAATATTGGTTAGGATTGTTTGAAGACTATAAAAGAATATTAGTGAATTCTAGATTGAATTAATATTAACCCGAAGTCATAGTGATTTAAATGCTTTACAAGTTAAAAATTGTGCAACTGCTACTGAAGGTAAAATCACCTTAAATAAAATAGTCTGGAAGGTCCCACATATAACGGTTGACGACGAGGAAAGGTTAAAATTATTGAAACTTATAGAAAAAGAAAAAAGTCTATTTATCCCTTTTAGATCTTTTGAAACTTTTGAATATCCTGAACTCGGAACCACTAAAAAAGTTGTATGGAATTTGAAAACTGCTTCAAAATTAGAAAAACCACGATTTATCATAATTGGATTACAAAAATTTGCTAACAAAAGATTGTAGTATATTTGATCATTGTAATTTAACAAACGTCAAAGTATTTCTGAACTCTATAGCTTATCCATATGATAATTTGAATTTAGATTTTACTAAAAATAACTTCACCTTATTATATAATATGTATACATCGTTTCAAGAATCGTACTATGAAAAAAGTATTCGCAACCCGATATTGAGTCCTTCTACTTTTCTGACAAACGCTCCAATTATAGTTATCGATACTTCGAAACAGAACGATTCAGCCACAGCCTCAGCAGTGGATGTTCAATTGGAAATTGAAGCTTCAGAATCGCTCACAGGTGTGACTGCTTACTGTTTCTTAATTCATGATCGTATTGTAGAATATGTACCTTTTACTAGAGAAGTAAGAAAACTTGTGTAAATATTATTAAGAATTTATTTGTAACAATGAAAAAACTATGATTTAATAATTTGTGTTTTTTCTTGAAATAATTATTTTAGTTTTAAAATTGGTAAATGTTAAATATTTTTTGTGTGAGACGAAATTTGGTAGTCAATCAGTGTGAAATTGTGTTACGCGGTAAATCTGAGTGCTCCAAGGGGACATTCCCCCTTTGAACTTTTTTTTTCCCTGGAAAAGCTGACTGTGAACATGCAAATATATACTACTAACCTTATAGAAATAATTTTACGCAACCACCGACAAATTATAATACGCAAACAGTTACATGTTCATACTGTAATAAAAACGGTCATAATATAGATTCGTGCTATAAAAAGAGAAACGATGAAAGTAGAAATAATTCGGGAAACGCCAATGTATCGAACGAGGTACGCGGTACTCGCACGATAAACCAGATTATCGCGGAGCAACCAACTCACGAATATTTCACATATTCTCAACAATAGAAAATAATCATATAACATTCAATTCTATCGCCCCAAAAATAAACCAGTTACACTTAATGATAGATACAAGTAGTCAGGTAAACATTCTCAAAATAAATTGCTTACGCGAAGAATTAGAAGTAGACGAAACACAAAAAATAAATCTGCGCTTTATAAATGAATGTCTCACAAAAACCATAGGGAAAATATCAATGCGAGGCAAAGGAATTGCAGGGCCTTTATTCAAGCATGTCCACACACGTCGCAGCACTTGAAGCACTAAGCCAACCAGCCAACAGCTGGGATGCATGGCTTTTAACAATTATCCTGAGAAAACTTGACCATTCAAAAAGTCATGAATGGCAAGTGCGAAGAACCAACACAGAGTTACCGAAATACAGTGAGCTGCAGCAATTTCTGTCAAGCCGTTGTGTTGCATTGGAGAGTTCGGAAACACTCCGGAACACCAGCGATGAAGTAAAACGTAAACCAAAAACCAGGAGTTCCTATTTAAAAAGCAACGCTCATAATCACCCTAGAAAGGCTCTTTACACGGCTAATCATAACGTGAAGTGTGAATGCTGTGCAGGCGAACATCGGATATACGCATGTAGCAAGTTCAAAGAAATGCCAGTGGGAAGCAGTGTACAGAAGGTTCGAGAGGTAAAGTTGTGCTTCAACTGCTTTTCAAACATGCATACGGCGGATGTGTGCAAGTCAAAGTACAGCTGCCGCGTGTGTAATGGTAGACACAATACGCTACTACACTACGAAAAGCAAGAACCTCAAGCCACGGTGAATGAAGAAGCTACCACTGAAAGGGTAGACAATCCAAGCGCGAAGGTGTTTTGTGCAGCTCAAAGAGTTAATCATGTCTTCCTAGCAACCGCTATAGTCTCAGTGCTGGACTGTTATGGGGAAAAAAGACCATGTCGAGTAGAATTGGATAGCGGGTCGCAAATAAACTTTGTCTTGAGGAAAATGGCCAAGCTATTAAATCTTGCTCGCGAGAAAGGCGAACTACCAGTAACTGGAATAGGAGCTAACCGGATTCATTCAACTGCGTGCGTTACCATAGATGTATTTTCCAGAATAAAGGAATTTCAAGTTGCTTTAGTTTGTCTCGCATCGCTGGCTGAAGCAGAAAGGCTAAGATTTGGATAAGGCAGCGAAGGCAATACGTAAGGACTTCTATATGGACGGTTATGACTGGAGCTGAGACTATAGATGAATGCAAGATGTTACAGTCGCAAATCAGCATGGTTTTAGAGTCAGCCAAACTACCGCTCAGAAAATGGTGCTCTAGTTCAGCCGAGATACTCAAAAGCATAGAAGCAGCCGAAAATGAGCCATTATTCATAATCAAAATAGAAGCAGATGAGATAGTAAAATCTCTTGGTTTATGTTGGAAGCCAACGCAGGATGTGCTTGGATATCAAGCTGTAATGCCAGCTAAGAGTCCAAGATGTACAAAAATAATATTGTTATCTGACCTTAACAGGATTTTTGATCCTCTTGGTTTTTTGACACCTGTACTCACTAAAGGTAAAATCTTCCTGCAACAACTGTGGCAAATAAAGATAGATTGGGACCAACCAATTCCGGACGAAATAAGAGAGAAGTGGCTCCGATTCTACAAACAGTTCGAGGAACTTGGAGCGTTAACGATTCCTAGGAAGTGCAAGCCAGTCATGAGCGATCATATTGAGGTGCATTGATTTTGTGACGCTTCTGAAGAAGCTTATGGTGCATGCATCTATGTGCGAAGTAAAGACCAGAATGAGCAGTGGTGTTCACGGCTATTATGATCAAAATCAAGAGTAGCACCAGTCAAGGGAGCTACAATACCGCGTTTAGAATTTGGAGGCGCTCTGGTGTTAGCACAGTTGGCAGAGAAAGTAGCAGCAGCATGGGAATTAGATGTCAAGGATTTCCACCTCTGGACAGATTTCACGGTGGCATTGGGTTGGATCCAAAGTGAAGCAACTAGATTTAAAACCTACATCGCGAATCGCGTAGATCAAATACTCGAGCTGACCAATGCACAACAATGGAAGCATGTAGGGACTGCAGACAACCCAGCTGACATACTATCCAGAGGAGTATTGGCACAAGAGCCTGGATGTCCAGCAGTGGAATGGACCAAAGTGGTTGAGCCACAGCAATGATGGTTGGGAGCATTCAGTCACCACACTACCAGACGAAGAAACATTACCAGAAAGACGAGTGGTTAAGCTCGCACTCACCACGATGGATCAGTCAATTGGATTAACCGAACACTACTCAAGTTGGCGTCGACTAGTGAGAGCCGTTGCCTGGTTTCTTAAGTTTATAGATTTCCGAAGAACAAGGCAGATCGGTATTACAGCAAGGTATTTAAGTGTATAGTATTTAAAGAAAGCCGAAACTGGTTTAATAAGGCAAGCACAGTTACAAGAATTCAATGAAGAATATATATCACTGAACAAAAACAAAGAAGTATCAGGGCGTAGTAAATTAAAGAAACTACATCCGATGCTCCAAACTGAAAACTTAATACTAGTTGGAGGACGGCTGGCCAACGCCCAAATTGCAGAAAATAAAAAGCATCCTATTGTGTTATCTGCAAATCACAAAATTACCAGGCTAATTTTCGAAGACACTCACCAGACACTTTTTCACTGCGGTTCTCAAGCATTACTAGCAGAGATTAGACAAAGATACTGGCCAATCAGAGGTAGAAGCATGGCTCGTTCTGTCTTGAAACGCTGTGTGACCTGCGTTCGAGCAAGACCAAGATTTGTATCTCCTCTAATGGCTCCGTTACCAAAACAACGCGTAATCCCTACTAGACCATTTGCTGTCAGCGGTATAGACTTCGCCGGGCCTTTAATGATAAGAAGTGGAATACGGAGACAAACAGGAATAAAGGCATGGATTGCAGTCTTCATATGTCTCTCCACAGGGGCCATTCACCTAGAACCGGTGGTCGGGTTAACGAGTGGAGCATTTTTGGCATCATTAAGACGTTTCATGTCACGAAGTGGAAAGTGCTCAACAATCCATAGTGATAACGGTACTAACTTTGTAGGAGCGCAGAAGGAGTTGGTATCATATCTAACCAACTGCGAGTCAAGTATGGCTAGTGAAGGGATAGAGTGGAGATTCAACCCTCCCTCAGCGCCCCACTTTGGCGGCTTGTGTTAGAGTGCGGTGAAATCGACTAAGCATCACTTAACACGAGTGCTAAAAGATGGCAGGCTTACTTAGGAGGAGCTAAATACGATGCTTTGCCAAATTGAAGCTTGTGTTAATTCGAGGACAATGACACCCTTGGGAAGCGACCCTTCAGAGCCTAATGCCCTTACTCCAGCTCATTTCTTAATTGGTGGGTCTTTATTATTAGCGCCTGAGCCCAGCTTAGTAGACGAGCGAATAGAACATCTACGTCGATGGAAGTATGTTCAAGCATTAATGCAAGGGTTCTGGACAAGATGGAATAAGGAATACTTGCCACAATTTCAAGTACGTGGCAAGTGGACAAGTAACAAGCCTCCACTAAGCATCGACGATATAGTCATTATAAAGGACGAATGCACGCCACCAGCAAAATGGCGATTGGGAAGAGTGATGAAAACGCACCCTGGGAAGGATGGCGTTGTGAGAGTCGTCACATTGCGGGTTGGATCCGATTCACGGATAAAGCGTCCTGTAGTCAAGCTACCGAGGTATCATCGGAAAGAAGTTGAAAATAAATAATTTTTCAACGGGGGGAGAAATGTTGCCGCCCGAAATGCAACAACATTATTGATATGTTAAGGCCGCTTACCACCACCGACTCACGCACACACTAATGCAATCACATACCTGTTACTTGTTTGTTCCTATATATTTATATTATTGTTTTTATTTCTGTTTAATTGTCCATATCAATTGTGAATTATTATATAATATTATGTAAATTATCGCCGCCGCTGCGCCGGCTGCGTGTTTATTATTATAAGACACGGCCGCCGCAATCCAATCAGTGCGCTCACCGCTGTCATCAAGACACAATATTATTAGCGAGTGTACCGGTCGCCGGTTTGATATTATATTGCTTTTTAAGTTCAGGCGCGAATCGTCTTTTTTGTAGTATTCTTATGTAAGGCGCAAATCGTCTTATATATTATAATTATTGAACCGTGCTGTTATTGTCATGCGCAAAGTGCCATATTTTTGTTATTGGTAAAGGGTGCGAATCACCACCAATCTATGTTATATAATTAATGCACAGGCGCGAATCGCCATTTATCATTTGTTTATAATTTATAGTTATATTGTGTGTGTTATTTATTTTACTATATTATTGCTATTAAAAAAGGTTAGGTAGCAGCTGGCCAGCGGCGCTCCGTCAAATTGTGAGTTTTATTTTATATATTTATTATTATATTACAGCTCAAATAGCTAGTTATTACTTATTATCAACTATTTGGACATCTTTATATAATTCTTAGCGGCTCAAATAGATTGTTATAAAATATTATTATATGGTTTTTGCCTATTGGCTATAATTTTATTTATTTTGTATTATTTCAAAGCGTCTTATTATATCATATTAATAACATTGAATTTGTGTTGACATTATTTGCATACACACACATACACACCTACTCACCGCACACTACCTAGCACTCAGAGTATTTGCTCGGCGATCCCGTCCACTACTCTTGAGTTGCTTTACACATATTAATACGCAACACAGATCGGTCGGTGTGTGAGTGCTCTTGCGCATGAAGTATTTCGGTACCGGGCACACGAACTATCGTTGTTTCAGTCTCGGCCCAAAAAAATTGCAATCCGTATGCTTTAATTGGCATATATTGAAGGCAAACAAAAAAATAAATAACCATTACGATCATAGAACCTTAAATAAAATAACTAGAAGCCTTGAACTTTTCATGGATGATTATTGTAATGGAGAGTGCAAGGAACTAGCAAAAATAATAGAAAATACTAGAAATCCAATTTACATAATGAATTACCTTAAGTAGATCTATAGTTACAAATGTTTATGGCAAATTTATCGATTGTTCACATAGATTAGTATATAGGTGGAAGATGATAATTATTATTATATAAAAGGGGAAAATACTTAAATTTTATACTTACGTAACGCTTATAATGTTATAATTTCAGGTACATATATTTTTTTATTAAAAGGATTATTACTCCTTCTTATTAACACTAGTTATTTAATTAAATGATGTATTCATTTTATTTTACTAACCACAATATACAAATTGTAATATGAATAATAAAAAAAAAATTATAATAATAATAATGATGACGTTAAAAATTGTAAAATGTTCACATTATTGTACTCAAGTGTAATAATGTAATCAAATTGTTAACTGTATACAAAAGTGATACCAATGTAAATGTATGTAAACAATGTAATTCAACCATTGTATACTATTTAATTAACGTTGTTAAAGATTCTTAACCCTTAAAGGTTAACAATCTTTATTTTGGTAGGGAGGTGTAATGGGATTACGTAATTTCATGTACTTGCTCATAAAAACAACCAGGAATGTGACCACACCCAAAGTGTTTACGACTAGAATACCACTCTTATTCGTGAGGTCCATATCATATCAAGGACGACTGTACACGCGCTGCTCGCTTTCAAAGGACACCGCCACTCGTATATATAGGGGACAGCGAGACAGCCTGAGCAGATTGTATCCAGAGACGTAAAACAACGTACGACTCGCTTAGCCGCAAGCCATCACACATAATTACACGGAGATTATCATTCTAGAACGAACTGCAATTCACTCAACTACACAACCAACACGACTGTTCTGCTTATTTTGTCTGGTTTAATAAAATACATTTGATTACTATTCTAATTTGACTATTGTTATTTGTAAAAGTACATCAGCTTTTTTTTTCATCTTTTTGCACATTTCCCAGTCATTTAACAATTTGCTCTTTCATTTACTTCACTTCTCTACATTTTCATCTCTATCCAGTTTATTTTCAGATACATTTTTCCAGGACACTTCGGAGACCGGTGAGTCCAAGTTTTTATACGTATATTTCACAAGTACCCGACGTGTGTAAACAAACTATTTGGTTAGGCATTAGTTTTTGGTTCGATTACATTATGTAATCAACAAACTGTTTTACGTGCCAATGTTTACCGATTACTTAAACTCCACCATGTCTTTATACGCTGTTTATTTTAGTATATAATATAGGTACTCTATTACACTCTATCGTCCAAAAGTCTAAATTCACGTATTTTTAATTTTTATCGTAGCGTCTGTATGACTCCGTAATCGGAAAAAAAAAATCCCCGACCCTAGGAAAAAAAATCACCAGCTACAATATTACTCACAATCACATGCAAATGGTTGATCAAATATATTTTGAACGTTAATTAGTAACTATAATTAATATTTAATGACAAATACGTATATTATATTCTATTATATTGTTAAAAAAATTATAAAAAAATTAAAAATATTATAAAAATATTTAGAATGATCGATACGTCAATTAATAATACAGTTAAAAACATAGTATATAATATACATACAAAAATATTATACAAAATATAGGTACCTATATATTTTATGTTTGTATAATTCTGTAAAAATTGAATCCAATTAATTTCAAAATTGAAATCAATAATTAATTATTGTTTGATAATTATTTTATTATGATTATAGTTATTATTATTATTATTGATATTACTATTTACCATCTATATTTTAAATTTTTTATAATATTTCTATATACCTACTATGTTTTTAACAGTCTTCTTTGACGTATCGATCACTCGAAATATTTTTATACTTTATATATTTGTGTACACTACACCTCACACAACAATCATAAGTATTATTTGAAGTTTTGAAAACGTAATATTTTATTTCGGGGATTTAATTTTTACAGAATTATACCAACATAAAATGTGTATTAATATAGTATAGTAATATAAAATGTTGTTGTAAATTTTTCAAAAATTATTTATAGTTATTTATTTATATTATTTTATTACCTATATTTTGTATAATATTTTTGTATACTATGTGTTTAACTGTATTATTTGACGTATTGATCATTCAAAATATTTTTATATACTACACCTATTTGTAACGTTGTTAAGTTAGTTATTTAATTTGAATTACACATAATACAGGGTGATCCATTTAAGTGGGTACACTAATTATCTCGAAAAGTATTAACTTTTTTTTATTTTTTTAAACTGTTAGATTTATGCTTTTCTAAAACTCTATACTATTTTAATTTTTTTTACCCTTATATTTATTGATGAAACCACTATCAACTTTTGATTTTCAAATGGTAACATATAATAAAAAGATCATGAATTAATAAAACCATTTTTTTTATGAATTTACGCGTTAACATTTTTATTATTTGTTAATTGGTTTGCGAGATACAGCTCCTCAAAGTATTGGTGGTTGAAAGTCGGTACCGCTGGAAAATTTTCATTTGTAAAGCCCAGAAGCTATAACTGATAAATTCGATACCGTTCGACCTAACTACCTACGGTACCTAACATTAAACATATTGATAATTGTTGTACTTTGAACCTGATTAATTGAATGTACATTACACCTATATGCTAATTTGACCAATGCTACGTTTTGTTGACATTGGCTGTCGCACCAGATCCCCTCCATATTACCATAGAACAATAATAATCTTATTACTATTGTCTATTACCGATATCTGGCGATACCTTATCATTATCTATGACCACGGTCTTATCATAGATAATATAAGAATGGATAGGACATAAGAACTTATCACATGAAAAGTTAGTGATACTATTTTTAAGGTTATATAAGGACAATATTGATATGATAACTGATAAATAATAATAAATAAAATTTATATAATTTCATTTTGTTAAAATATTATTTTCCAATTTCCATTTTCCAGGCACAGGTGGCACAACAATCAAAATACAAACTGACAAATATCTAAATATAACTGACTATCATGTTATTATTATTATTATTTAATAAAATAGTTTTGCACATAACCTTAAAAAGCCTCGTATAGTCTTTCTCTCTTTACGTTCTCTCTTCCCCAAAAAAGCACACGGCCTCATATGGAACTGGTATAGGCATGTCCTATCCATTCTTATATTATCTATGGGTCTTATAAGATAATAGAATTGATTAAAATATTATATCATATTAATTAATTAATGATAATGGTACAGAAAAATCAATCGGTTGTAATAAACTGAATACTGATAGGTAAGTGATAATGAACTTTAAAACTTGTAAAGTAAAATACTAAACCATGTGGTCATGCAGCATAGCACTATTACTTAAATAGTTAAATATTAAATGTATAATGTAATTAATAATTGAACTATACATATGTATAGTTAGTTTATGTTGTAAACCGTTATAAGTAGACAGACAGTTTAAATTTCTTTAATAGCATAATAGGTATACCTAACAAAATAGGTAGTTGTTGAATCATTAAGTTTGTCAAAAATATTCCATTGAACTTAAAATTTCATTATACCTAAGTCGTGATTTGGGATATTTGGGATATATTTGGTATTTATGTATTTTATTTGATATTTCAATCAAAAATATATGTATTTAAGTTTATATTATGAAGTGTGATGTAAACTTGATAATACATGAATACCAACAACTTGGAAATCACAACATTTGTACCTACATTAAGTTTATTGGTAAGTTTTCTTAAAATGTATACGT